ATCAAATGGTTTTTAAGAAAATCATGGGTTTGACAAAATTAATCAGCACTCTACTATACTAAACTATTACCTGAGTCAGTGCATTTTCTTGCCTTCTCATTCTGGCTTTCTTTGGGCTTTTGTTTCCTTGTAATCTCATAAATGATCTTTGCTGCTTGATAGACCCTACCCCAGTAAAATAGCAAAATTGTTTTTCTACGGATACATGTAGTTTAAATTTAAATTCCATGTATAATATACAGCATGCAATTTCTTTGGACTGAGGGAATTTACCTGCGACAACATTGACTTAAAAATGAATTAACATATTGCAGGTCAGCAAATCTTGTGATACTCTAAAGTTAGTTTGTTTCTTGCTTTCAAATTGAAAAACAAATGAAACTTAAGATAGAACAGAGTGTTAAATTTTAAACAGAAATTTTAAAAACTTAGCCATTGTGGCTCACGTCCTTCAGACAACATAGAATTTTGGTTATTTCACTTGTTGTTCTGTATCAGACAGCAAAGAAATATACCAAGAATTGTGACGCAGGTGCACAGCCATTGTATAATATTTGCTCTTTAAACCATTTGGTCAGTGGCATTCAAGTGTCCTTTGTGGTTTTCATAAACTCCCTCTGATCAATACCTATGTATCCCATAGAGTCAAAAGAAATTCAGAGTGAGCAGGGGTTGGTCTCAAATGCCCAGTTTTACAATCAACAGTTATCTCCTGAGTAGGTAAAGGAGGACAACCCAACAACCCTTCTCAGACCAGCAGGAAGAGGTGCACATACTTTCCGAAAAATGTAGACATGTAGACAAGAGCAGGGCTGGGAAGGAGGTTGGGGGTATGTTGGGTGTGAAAGTCTTGGAAGTCTGGAGAGGAGTAAGGACTCCATAATTTTGATCTGAGGGGGTTTGTCGTTGTTTTGTTGTTTCTGTATGTTTGTTTCTTTGCTTGTTTGTTGGTTTGTTGGTTTGTTTGTTTCTCTGTTTGTTTTCTTTCTTCCCAAATTCTTTTAACTGGCCATCTGCGTGTATGCATAAATGTCCTTTTGAAAGGGTCCAAGGGTAACCTCTCAATAGGGTGGAGTGCATAGAACAGAAATGCTATTAATTTCCAAGCGAGAAGAAAAAGATACTTACACTTACTCTACATATCAAAACGTAATTGTACTCTTTGAATCCCCAACTTATTAATTAACTGAACTTACTCGTAGTAGTTTAGAGTCCATTCAAAAATTCTTACCTTGCTTTTCGTTGTCCAGGATCTCTCGCACCTGAGTCTTTCCTGCGCTTGTCCTCGATTTTGAGGCCCCTGGTTTTCAAGTTTTTCCTTTAGGACTGACCGAGAAAATTGACGATAAACGAACCATTTCAATGTGTTCTTCTGCATCAGTTCCGCAGATTTCACGCCATTTTTGAAATGCTCGTAAAAGTAGTCAGCGGTTAATCTTTTGTTATGTTACGTGACGTGAAGTGTCTCTTTGTCATTCCCNAAAATTGACGATAAACGAACCATTTCAATGTGTTCTTCTGCATCAGTTCCGCAGATTTCACGCCATTTTTGAAATGCTCGTAAAAGTAGTCAGCGGTTAATCTTTTGTTATGTTATGTGACATGAAGTGTCTCTTTGTCATTCCCATGTCCCTAACTTGACGAGACGCCCCCTTAATCTCTGGCGACCTTGGCCAAACTTTTTCGAGTTAAGTGGAGCGCA